GGGGGTAGAGCAGACGCCGGGGTATCTGACGGCTCGCCAGGCCACCAACCTGCTCAATGAGGTAGCGTGCAACCCCCCGCCCCCATCCCGCCCCACACACACCTTTTATTTAATAATTAGTAGTCACGTTTATCATACGCCCCGTAGAAGGAGTACAGGAAGGACCTGGAACAGGAAGTGAAGGGGCGGGGCTTATCGGGGCTTGGCCTGGAGGACACACCCGAGCTCCTGCGGGTCAAACAGGCCAATCAGATCCTGAACCAGAAGGAGTACCGCAGGGACCTGCACACGGAGGTGCTGGGCAAAGGGATGCGGCTCAGCGCCGACGTCCTGGAGGTCCGACGGGCCAAGAGGGCCTCCGAGATCCAGAGTCAGGTAACCGGATCTCGCCTGTCCTCAACTGGACCCACATCACGCCGTGTGTGCGTGTGTGTGTTTTTGTGTGTGTCACAGACATCCTATAAACAGACAGACCATCTCAGGGAGAACTCGTACGGGACCATCACAGACACCCCAGAACTTGTGCACGCGTCTTACCTCAAAGATGTCTACAGTCAGGTGACTGCTGTTTGCTTTTTTTTCTTCTATTCATCTGTCCTTCTCTCCATCCACCCATCCATTCATCCAATCTGTCATTCCAGAGGAAATACAAAGATGACGCCGAACGTCTGCGAGGCCGCTACAGCGCGCCGTCGCTTACTCCCGAGATGGAGCGAGTGAAAGCCAACCAAAGGCACATCAGCTCGGTGAGATCCCACTCACGTCTTGCTCGCCTTCGTCCTCCATTCAGCGCATTTTGTCTTTTCTTCCTCTGGCCCACCAGTGTGCCTTTAAAAATGTTAAAGGGCCCCAGAGTGGATCAAGAATATTGGGAAGGGGTCACATGACTTTTTTGAACTTGGGACGTGCGCTCATGACTATCTGTCGCCCCCTAGATGCACTACTGCTGGGACTCCAAGCTGATGAGAGGTCTCATGTCGTCCGTCACCGAGACGCCAGAGATCGTGCTCGCTAGAGAGAACACCAAGAAGATCAGTGATGTACACACACACACACACACACACACACACACACACACACACACACACACACGCACAAATATATCTTTGAGGTGAAACTTGGTTTCCAAATTTTGAGTCGCGCTTTCAGGTGCAGTACAGAGAGCAGGTGGGCTGCGGGACCGCCGTCATGGAGACGCCTGAGATGAAAAGAGTTCGGCGGAACCAGGAGAACATCAGCTCAGTGAGCACGCGCTCATACACACGCGCACACGTACATGTGATGTTGGAGACACGGTGAACGTGCGCGCGTGCGTGTGTACAGGTGAAGTATCAGCGCGGGCTGCAGGAGGTGCGGGGCCGCAGCTGCACGGAGCTGGACACCCCCGAGTACAGGCGGGTCAGGCGGTCTCAGGATTCGGTTTCCATGGTAGCGGCCTGCGGGACACCGCGTGTGGGAGCGTGGCACTCGTACTAACTGACGCCCACGGACCGCATCGGAATGTGTGTGTGTGTGTGTGTGTGTGTGTGTGTGTGTGTGTGTGTGTGTGTTTGTGTGTTTGCTTGTGTTTTTTTTTGTTTATTTT